GTGTGGGTGCGGTTTTTTTTTTATACAACATTTCTTTAGGAATATAAATAAATTGAATTGTCTACGGTGGTTTTCAATTGTAAAAACTTACTCATTGTGGATTCTTTTCATAGCGTTAATCCAAAGCGACCGACCGATTCTAAAGAGATTTTCTTTTTTCTTTTTTGCTGTCTTTATACAGCTTATTTATTTATGGTAAGTGAATGAAATTCGAAACGAACAACACACACACACAATCAAACTTTCTTTTAAAAAAATCAGCCCGAAACAAAATCAGGAAATTCTCGTTCGTCATTTCATTTTAGAGGTAATTCGAGACGACCATAGCAATCGTCAGAATTTCTCATTTTTTCCCCTGAAGAACTCCACATTGTTGTGACTGAAGAATATTCGGGATTTTCCAACAATTCGAAAGAATGCCATTTTTCGCAGAGCGAAAAGTAAATATAAAGACGCAAACAAAATGATCAAATTCATCGGCCAAAGGAATATTTTCCGGGATGTAAACTTCCACTTTCACTCACTCGAAACCAAACGAATGAAAAGAAGACGACAACAACAACACAAATATTGTTATGAACGATTGAATTGTAGTATTCCATTTGTGTGTCAGTGGCTCCGGGATAATTTAATCGCGAAATTGGATTCGAACCATTTTCGTATGCATTGCAAAGTATGGGGCTGCCATTTTCCCCACTTCCAGAAACCCATTAGCTAGACAATGACAAAGGATATATCATCGTATAATTGAAATATGCCATTTAGTTTTTGGTTTGTGCCAAAAAGCAATTTAAAATTGGAAAATGGTGAATGCACATTTTGTGGTGCGGTACGCGGGAAATAATGCGCTTTCAATAGTTTCGCTATTATTTGGTGCTTGTATATTTTTACGCTTTTGTTTTCCGTTGCCTGAAGATTTATGCTTTTTCAACCGTTCGGTCGGTATTAATTGTCATTGTGTCTCGGAAACGGCGAATAATTACCAAATGATTCGACTGAGCGAACGCATTGCCGAAAAATGAGAAGAAAAACGGCCGATGGAATGGGAACTTAGTGTAATGACGACGATGATAGAACAAATAAAACAAAAGAAAATGCACCACTCCTCCTCATCCAAAAGTGCCAACAAGAATGAGGACGTAAAAAACGAGGCTAAAAAGTACTGCACATCGAAGAAATTTGTGACCCAATATTTTTTTTCGTTTGTTTGTTTGCCTGTTCGTTGAATGAGACCGCCATTATTTGAGAATGGCTTTGTTCTAAATCACAGTGGAAAACGACCATACTAGAATCGGGGCAAATTGCGATTTTGCTCTCTTGATCCATCTGCTAATGTCGCTCTCTCGTTCCCCTTTACTCTCCACGCTCACTCTATGCTAAGAATCCATTGAAAAAGAAATAAAAGAAAAAAATCGCTTTTCTCTGTTCAAACCGAATGGCAAAAGTGTCATTGAATTGCGATTTTTGCCATTGCTGACTGTCGCTTCGCTATTTTTGAACGTTTGGCCTGAATCAACTTGAATGACATGAAACGCTATTTTCAGATATTTTATTTATTTTCGCAAAAAAAAAAATTCATGTCAACTGTTTACATTTCGCCGTCTTCGTTGTCTTATGTTTTCCAGTCGTGGTGTTCCGCTTTAAGTAAATGTTTATGCTGAGCGGCGCGCATTCAAAAGAACCGTGCCAGTGCCGGCCGTTTTTTAGCACTACATCAAATGTGGAGCTACTAATGTGCTTTTTTTTGTCTTAATACTTTTTGACTACTGAAACAAATTATGGTGAATTTGAATTTTATGCTCACATTCTTTATTCAATTTAAACCAGAGCCAGTGTCTTTCAAAACAGAAATTAAACCAAGATCTTGTAATTCATTATTGAGATAACTGAGAAAAATCTTTTTTCTGTACCTACTTTGTTGTAAATATATATCCTTCGTAATATGCTTTTAATCCATAGTGATATTAAAAGGGACGACGTTTAATGATATATTACTACAACGTTACTTCGATGAAATAAATTTCATGTAGTGCGCAAAAAAATAGTTTCTTGTGAAACAATAAAATAGAATAAGTAACTAAAATCTCAAGAACGCAGAGTGGAGGGAAGCGACGCTCTGCAGTCTTGTTTCTTTCTCTCCCTCTGTGTCGCTGATCTTTTTTTCGTGTCTCTTCTTCTCGGTTTGCTTCTCCTTTTTTTGCGAAAGCCTGAAAGACAGTTCGTGTATTTGATGTTGTGACTGATAAAATGGCATGAAGTGCGGAAATTTAATATTTACGATGTCAATCAAAACGAGTTTTTGCACACGAAATTCCCCAATCGGGTCCACGGGGCTTGGGCTTGATCCCATTTTCATGCGAATGGAAATCGATATCCAATATTGTTTTCTAGCATGATTGTCATTTTGAGTTTAAGTTCAAAAAGTCGAATCAATAGACATAAATGAAGGGTTTTTTTTCCTCGCACTGTGCTATTGTTGTTCTTTCAGGCTGACTCCGATTGATGTTTTGGTTGCATAGAAAACCAAAAAAAAACCGAACATTGTATGTAACAGTACAACTCGAAGTACAAATCAACACGATTGAACCATTTGTCTACACATTTTCGTATTTCCCTGGCGCAATGCTGCTGATTTGAATTTCATTCAACAGAAAGTAGGTTTCGACAACTTTCCATAAATAGCAGCAGTTTTAGCAGTTGATGTCATTGAAAACCTACGAACAACACACGATTGATTACTATAAAAAGAGATTTCGTTATCATATTTTTGTCGTCCTATTGAGAATCAAATTTCATGTAGAGCATATGAATGGAATTGCTTTAAAACTCTTGTTACGTCTTTCTGTAAAACGATGTGCTTCAATCGTACCGACTATCAATCTGAATGCAACAATTTAAATATAAAATCTGACGTTGTCCCACTTTTCACTGGATCATTTTCAATGCAAATCTACCCATTTGAATAAGTCTTCAAGATGTTTGTCTTTGTTAAAAGCGTTTCAAATTGATGTTCCCTATTTTTGTTTGATCGCATCTTCCAAGAGATTCAGTTCGCAATTTAAAAATCATTTTCCTTACCTGAATATAGAATTCCATTTAATTTGGCATTTTGAACTTTGTTTTTGACTTGGCGCTTTTAAGACCATAGAGAAAATCTTTTAGAGTGGTAGTGTGCCGGTTTTGAATCTTATTTTCATCATTTTTAAACAGACAAAGCCAAAGATTTGGTATATAAAGATGTCAAGCTCTTGAAACAAGCAGCAAACAAACAAATTACTGTGAAGTAAACAAATAGACAAAAAAAATCGGTAAAAAATAGAGCTCCGCCAACAGCTCAAACATTCACCGCCAACGATGATGAAATTATGATGAATACTTTACCCACTGTAAAGTAGTTGAAGTATAGTTTTGTATACGAATTAAAACCATTTAATTTACCACAAATCTTTGGCCAAAATCGGCTAGAGAATGAGTTTGTGTGTGTGTGTGTGTGTTGCGTGGCGTTTACAAACGAATGAATGGAAGGTTGGAAATGGGACCGTTTTACTCAGATGCCTTTTCACTCATCGAAATTTCAATGAATAGACAATCTTTCGAAATGCGACTGTATATGTGTGTGGGCTGAGAGTTCAAACCTACTCCCCGGATGCATCCACACCATATTCAAAATGCAATGTATTTTGCAAACAGAATTTCGGAATGATAAAAACAAATGTGCTCGAGATTCGTACGTACGAAATATTGTATTGCGAATTCGCATGTGTACAAAACCATGTACAAATTGCATTTAGATAAAATGCTTGATGTTTTGTACAATCAGATTAATTCAAAATGGGGTAAAAGTGTGTGAGAGAAGGCGAAGAATTTCTGGGAGAAATGTGGTAGCTCCATAGAGCATTACTCATTTAATTTATTTTCTATGTACACAGTCTTTACCATATTTGCCAGTTTGTCTTGAATGATGTGACGAGAGAGTCATACAAAGCGAATGCACAGCATACACATACACACACTCGATCCAATGCGAAAAACGTATGACTCGGATTAAACGAACAAACTGGCATTATTTCGACAAATGAGAGATCTTATGCTTTGCGCAAAGTAAATAACCCAACTTCACCGTTTACTTAACCTGACACATTAAATCTCATGAGCGCCTCGGAGGGATGGAGAGAGGGATAGAAAGAGCGACAGAAAGAGCCATAGAACAAACACAACACACATACTGCAGTTGCAATGGAATCTCCGGCGTAAATTAATCGAATTGAAAACCTAACGTCAGCATTTTTTTCGGATTCAAAGAAAATTCAAACGTAAATTGAAAATCTCTCATGAATACCTGCTTACAATTTCTTTGCTGCTCTGAACTTGTCTACAATGAAACCAAGAAATTTTACAAAAATCAAGAAATGTAATTAAAAAAATTTCAATTTTTTTCAGTAACAATGATCAAAAATGGACAAAACGAGAGAATCTTGAAATGAAACAATTGTACGCATTTCACATCGAATTACAATGAACTCAGCTAAAATAGCAGGTGCCGTGCAGATAAAGCAAACAGAGTGTTGCTAATCAATGCGTTGAAGAGACGATTAACGAACCGCGTTCAATTTCACAAGAATTAGCATCAATGAACGAGAGAAAAATACAGCGTTCAAGCTCTTCAAAAGGAATGGCGGGTAAAATATCCAAAAATAAAGAGACGAAGACAATGAATGAGACGAAAAAAAAAGAGATTAAGGAATAAATGAGCGAAGAAAACAGGTGAAATCAAGCAAAATTGTCGCAAAATGTCGATACTTCGTGAAATCATTATTTAATTTTAAAATTGTTCAAATAAGCATGTTTATTCTTCGCAAATTGCGTATGCATCGCACGAGCTACCATGACAGTTGGCAATGCATTCCCAACAAAATGTGTATATTCATAGAACGAGATACGAATCTTGTACACAATGTCATGCCATGCATGCGATTCGATAAATGCGTTGGATGATTTCATATAAATTTACTGCCGAGTTTGGTCGTTACCTGAATTGTGAATGTCTGGTGAAATGAGATAGTAGCAAATGAGAAACAGAGTGCAGTGACTATCGCAGCAGCATTCAGCATTCAACACTTCGACACAAACACACAAAATGGATTCATTTCAAAAGGAACCGTTGAATTTAACTCTTATCCAGTCAGCAGAGAGTGTGAAAAGTAAACAGGATTTGTGTAAGGTTTGCAACAGTGAATATTGTATAGTGAATCAGTTCCACGAATATCAAAGCGAACTAAGCATACTGAATCCGTACCATCGATATGAATGTTCGCTGTGCGGGAAGTCATATTCATGGATATCAACGTTTCGAACGCATCAAAGAACTCACGTCGAAAATAAAAAAGTCTGTTGTGGCTTTTGTTCGGAATCGTTTGACGATGAATGCCATTGGCAAAAGCATTTGCTTGAGCAACATACAAAAGTGTATGAATGCAGCATATGCGCGAAAAGATTTTCACGCCAAAACAGTTTGAGTGCACACTGTCGTATACACAAAGAGCGTGAGGCACGATTTAAATGCGATTTCTGTGGCAAACATTTTCGATGGAAATCAAATTTAAAGGCACATCTTCTGGCATATGAACATCAAAGGTATGCGTGTGCATTTTGCCAAAAGCATTTTGAAACGATGGATCGTTTACAGAAGCATCAAGAAATGCATGCAAATTCGGAGAATCAATGCCGTTATTGTGAAAAAGCCTTTTTAAAGCGACACAAGCTGAATAATCACATTCGGTTGAACCATCGAAATGTGGCCCCATGGCAGTGTACATTTCCGAATTGTTCCGAATCTTTTGGCACGGCCACCAAATATCGGTCGCACATCTACGAAATTCACGATGCACCAAAACCATTTGCGTGCAAAGAATGCGATCGAACTTTTCAAACCACACACAATTTGGCGACGCACGAAGCAACACACGAAAAAAGTACGCATTTCGAATGTGACATTTGTGGCTATCAATTTCAGCATAAACGCAATTTAAATAGGCATAAAATACAGCAGCATGGTCAAAACAAAGGGTTAAATGACAACGACAGCAGGACTAGGAGCAGCAACAACAGCAGCCTAATTAAAAAACTACCAACGCCGCGACCATCGCCATATATCTTTCGCCGTAAACGATATTTTTGCAAAAAGTGCCATCGCTGTTTTGTCTATCGAAAAGCTTCACTCAATTGTAGACACTATGACACCAGGTATTTTCGAAATAAAATAAATAACGGTTTGAATGGTGCAGCAAATATAAAAACGACAGTCGACGAACAACGAACAGCAGGAGGAGGAAGGAGTGGAGGTGGAGGAGACAAAGTGGTGGACGGAATGAAAGTTAAAATCAGTTTGGTGACTGAAAACCGAACCAACCAAATTATTCCTTTGTACGAGTTAAACATTCCAGCTGTGGACTCAATCTCAACAACTGCTATTGACATTACCAACTCAAAAACAATGGCATTCGACAGTGAACATCCAACTAACATTGAGCCAATTATATTGGTACAAACATTCACTACTCCATTAGATTCAATAACCTTAAACAACTCCATTAAACAAAATATTTCTGTTGACATTTCAAACGAAGTGGATCCTTTTGAAACGTTTTGTAAATCGCTCGCTCCGGAAATTATCGTCATCGATGACAGCAATAGCAGCTCTGGTGAAGAAGAAACATTTCTACGGAATGCGGCAGAATCATCAAACAAGCATCTAGCATGCTCATCGGAATCTCAACGTTGATCCATTGCTTTGATCCATTTCAAAATACTTATTCATAAAATCCAGAGTTGAACCTGTCGAGATAAATGCACTCTAAATTGCTTTGCGCGGTTATACCTTGTTTTTATTGCACTTTATTCTACATCCACTATTTTTAGTCGAATCAATATTAAATTAAGCTTTATTAATAAATACCTTCCGAAAGGTTGTTTAGCCAAAAATAACTAGATAACTGCGTTTCTTTGTTTATTTTGCCATTCATTTATTATTCAAATCCAGATCAATAAAGAGTTTAACAGTAAAATTCTAAAAATAAATTCCAGAACTCCTGGAAAAAAAGAAGCAGCCGAAGAATATGTTTTGCGTCATTCGCTGAAATGCTGACGCAAAATCTATAGAGATGCGATAAGTTGCATAAACTTTTGGAGCGTCAACAGTAAACAGCTTGAGAAAAAACGGTGATGTTAAAGATTTTGAAACTGAATATAAAGTGAAGTGAAAGCGCATATTTCATGCTTGAATTTCAAGCAAATGGGATTTTCGGGAAATTCTTAATTACTTGTTTGAACACGCAGAACGAGCGAGCAAGTGCTCGGCGAACAGCAAACGAGGAGGTAGCGGTGGAAAATCCTAATGAAAAATGTCAGTGGGAAGTTCAAAAGTGAATGCCGAAACATTTTGCACAGATCAACAAAACCGAAAACTTTAAATATGCATAACGAACGAAGAGAGTGTTTTCGATTGTTATTAAACGGATTGCTATAAATTTTTGACATAGAAACCCAAATGTAGCGGAATATGACGGTGAACTGAAGTGTGGGATTGGTATTGTGCAGTTTCTATACGGCGAAAATCCATTTTATGCATAAATAACTGAAGTGAAATGCAAGTTTTATTTGCAGTTTGCGATTGTTATTTGGATTATTTTCGGTGTGCATGTTCATTCATTTGAGAAAATTGTTTGAGGTTCATCTTAACTGGGATTGCATTGAGAGAGTGAGAATGTGAGTGTGTCAGAGAGAGAGAGAGGATGAAAGAGGCATTACGATAGCAAGAAGGGAATAGCGAACAGGAAAGAGACATAGAAGAGACGATAGAATTGTTTGGGAATCCAGAACAGGTATTGTATACCACGTGGGGGTAGCTCGGTTGACTCAACCGAGCGTACACTTGCAATAGAATTTTTGGGGGAAAAGTTTTTGATTTGCCACTCAAAATCCGTTAAATAATTTCTACGAGTGTTTGTTTGCTGCATGAGCAATTTCACAATGTTGACACAGCGAGATTTTCATGAAACAGCCCAGTGTATGTATGTATAGGCACACCGGTAGATATTCAGTTACCGTTGGCCATTGATATGAAACTTATGGAAAATTGCTGGCCAAGCTAAATAAATAATCCGTTTGCTAACATGCAAATTCTAACGCCATTAAGCCTCTACACTACGGATAAATAGGTGATTACAAATGCCATTTATTTGCACGTGCAAGTTTTTGCATGAGTTTGAGTGAATGCATCGCATAATGTGTGTGTGTGTGTATGCGTTCACATTATGCACATGCGAATGCAATTAAGCAATGAACATTTGGCATTCTTTGAATAATTTTGACACTGCAATCTTGTACTTTTCGCCATTGAAAAGTTATTCTAATTGATTCAATGGTATTGTTGTACGCTTGTGCCGCTTTAGCATTGTTGGCATAATTCAATGGGATTTTAGATGGAGAGGTGATTTGAAGCGAAAAATCCCCTTGATATTTGCCTCGAGTGACCTTTCTGAGAACGAGCAAGAGAGAGAGAGACACACTTTCGCCGAAAATCGCTTCGGACAACTCTTGAGACTGCAGCAAATGTAGTTATAATGACGGCTCCCATTAGAAAATCCAATCAAATTAAATCAAGATCAAATCTCGAAATGTGAATCCATTTAGCAAATGCATTTTCTTCTTTCCATATCTTCTATTATTTTCTCTTTCTCTCTCCCATTCACAGACTCAATGACCGGACAAATTCGAATTTTCGTATTCGAAAAGAGGTTTTTAAATAGAACGAAACCAAATTGTCGTTTTAAAATGTACAAGTTCGTGCAAATTCAGAACGTAATTATCTGTGAATTCGTTGTCTTTTCGTTGTATTATTTATCTGTGGCAATTTTCCATTTCGTGCTTTTTTCCACACTCTCCATTTGCCGCTCGCTGGCTCTCCCGATGAAAATAACCTCAATAATAATCATTATTGTATATCATTTTATCGTAGCGTTGAATATCTGAACATGGTTTTTCTCTTTGTTGGCCGTCTCGTCGAATGATATTTCATTTGATTTTATGGTGGTTTACCTTTGTTGCCCGCAAAGCGACAGCCATAAAGTCAAAGCATGTCACATGCGTGCCCAAATTCTCCATTCATTATAATCTCTGTCTCGCTCGCTCGCTCGCCCGCTCGCCATCCATATCGTTGTGTTTGTAACGGTCTCACTGCTTTTTTATCATCTCTCTTTTTGCTTTTCCAATCGAGTGTGTGTATGTGTGAGTGAGTGAGCGAGTGAATCTGTCGACGATATGCAAATACTAACAAGGGAATCAGATGAAAATGTGTACCGCTCTGGGCTTGATGTCCTTGTCTCAATCTTAATTTGGATACACATCCATTTCGCGTATTCATTTCTGGATATGCATTTTTTAATATGATAATAATTTCATATAATGTGTTTAATAATAATCCAACAATAGCCGGTCAGACATACAGACGATGTATTTAAAAGAAAAAAAAAACAAAACCAAAGCCACATCGCGTTGTTTTTGTTTCGTTGACGGCCGCAGATCGACCTCTCATGATTGTCTGTCGCTCTTTGTTGTGGTTTAAATCGCGGGTATGTAACATGCGAATCACTTCAATGTTATTTATAAAGCGAAGCTCCGAAACACAAAGCCGGTATCATACGCAGTCTGTCCATTTGTTGCTGACTCGCTCTCTCTCTCTATCTCGCTCTTTCTCTCTCTATTTATCAGCCACGAAGGATTTATTATAATTCCTTACGTGCGACACATGACAAGCGAACGAGAACGCAATTTCACAAATTACATTCATGCAAATGCGGGCGAACGAGACATTTTCGAATGAGAGAAATAGGAAGAGAGAGATAAAAAGAGATACGGAGATATTCTTGAGCGAAATGATTATGGACTGGACATTTTTCCATGAGATTCAAATCGGTACTCAAACACGTAGTCATTTTATCATATTTTCTCGTACAAACAAATTGCTCTTTGTCCTCTTCTCCTGCTTTGTATTAGTCATTAGAATTTTCTTTAGTAAGAATAACGAGTAGAAAAAAAATTGGTTCGCATTTAAATGAAGTGGTTTTCTTCTGCTTTTTTTCGTTGTGTTTTCGCTTGAATTGATTTTAAATGTCCTTGTTAGTGCCGATTCTCTGAATGGACGAACGAGACAGAGAGAGAGAGAAAGAGAGAGAGAGAGAGAGAGAGAGAGAAGGGAAAATGTTTATTATACACAACTGTGTGATACATATTTCTATGATGCGCATCGTCATTAAAATATCGCCACAATTCGCTCATAGAAACACAAATTTAATCTGATTTCATTGCATTTAGTCGGGGCGCGTTCGCATTTACGGCAAATGATGCTGTGTCATTGATGCGATTCGGTAATAAAATGCGAGAAAATATAGGATTTGGTTTGCCACGCTTTGTTTTCTTTCTGGGGTGTAAAGCAGTTGATCTGTGCGTTTTAAATTTATCCCAATAGTCTTGTTGAATGTTTTGACACAGACGAGCTCATTTCCAGCCAAGCAATAAACAAATTAACTGAAGAACATCAATGAAGACATTACGGCATAAATACAACGATTTGTGCCAGTCCAAATTGAGTAAGCAACGCACAAACACAGCCGATAAAGATTTTCTCCGTATTTTGAATGATAAAAATAGATTCGTTCGAGAATTATATATGTATATATTTAAAATCGGGTCGCTGACAGTCGGTATATTGTATAGCACATACTTTGATTACGCGCGAAGAGATATGCAAATAAAAAAGAAAAAAAATGGTATCATCATTTGAGGAAACTTCCAGCGACCGGAAAATACTTCTTGCGTTTACATTGAATTTATTCGGAACGATATTAGTTTTCATCTCTGTCTTCGTTGATCGTTCGTTCGATGTGAATGTGCACTCGGGCACGCGAACACATGCTGGGAGCGCGTGTACCAACTTTGATTTTTCCTCTAAATTGACAATCCTCTCCAGCATACGGAATGCTCATAAATTGACACAGGCGAAAAGTTTTCGAATGCGGCCGACATCATATATTCAATAGTGGTAGTTCGCTCTCCTTCCTTCGTTCGTTCGTTCGTTGTTTTTTAATCACAACTTTGCATAATTTTCCCAAGGAGCTGCAACCGTACTTCACACAAATGGCCGATTCACACAGACAATCACATTGTCTTGGAGGTGGGTGGTGGGCTATGGCAAACGGTTTTGGTTCAGTTTTCCACCATATGACTTGTTCGTCGTCGTCGTCATTTTTGAATACTCAATGCCACTATTGATAGCCATTTAACGAAATATTGTCGTTAGTTTTTGTGTGTGCACATCAAAAACTTTTGGCAGCAAAATCTCTTGCGTTTTATAACTTTTTATTTCAGCTTAAATTTTCTTTCGGTTTTTTTTTGTTATTTATGTGCAATGGGGACACTTTTTCAATGTCTCTCTTTCTCTCTTTATCGAATCACTTTTGACGATTCCATTGTTGCGCATTTTCGTGCTCATTCGCTCGTGCGCCCCCATTCTCTTGCCACGGCACATCGAACGCGACAAAAAAAAACACGTCACAAGCACGCCAAGCGAAATGCATCAATTTCTATGTAAATATGTTCACAGGATGTGGTAAAGTTTCCATTTGGAAAAAAAAGCCAGAGCGAGCAAGTGGAATGCACATTTTGACGAAACATTTGCATGTTTTCGCTAAACGCTTCATTTTTGCAAATGAATGTTTTATTCAAATTCACTCGCTCACGCCCGCGCCATCCCAAAACAACTGGACAACGTTTATCGGCGGGCAGACGAACCAGAGACAAGAGAAAGAGAAAGCGGATGAGCAACGGCGTTACAATGAAGTTGGAATTGCAATTACATTTGAATAAATCGTTGCTCAGCTTCCGTCAAAGAACAATGAAGAAAAAGTCAAACGAAGCAAAGA